AGTATATCTCATATTAGCTCTGCTCTTGAGGTTGCCTGTGGGCAAATTGGAGCCCATTCTGCAGCACAATTTTGCTGCTGAGCTATTACAGGAGATCTAATTAAATTAAGCCATAAGGCAGGAGAAAACTGTGCCATGACCTTCATAATCTGTGAAACCTTTAGTCGTTTGCCAAGCATCAATTCCCTAAAACTGGGGACTGCAGCACATCGCCAGGAGATGAAATCCTAAAATGGAAATTGTGATTGTTTACAATGTGCACAGGGACGCTGTGCTACAAAACCGGAGGGGGGGGGGGGTGAAGGCAAAGCACTGGGTATGTGGAGGAGTACACGGTGCACAATGACCTTGAAATCTGAATTAGCTCCTGCTAATTGGATGGAGCGAACTATCATTTCCATTTCTGAATTTGTAAAATTGTTTTCTCAGGGAAAAAGAAACACCTGCTTTACTGGGCTAATTCAGTTCAGTGTAAGTTTGCCTTCCTGTGTTTTGGTGTAGCTGGGTGAGCAAAAGGACACTCTATTTTGGTGGCAGAACCTGGAACCCAGCTTTCTGATGGCACACACCCTCCCTCAACTAGCTTTCCCAGGAGATTTCTCCACAGGCAGGCCAGGACAAACCAAAGCTAGCTGGATTGCTAAGCTTGGGAACACTGTCTATCCTCTTCTCATTGCCATACAAGCTAGCTTTCCTACACAAGAAATTTACCACCAATAAAGATGTAATATTTATTGAGCACTCACTATGTGGCAAAGTACCTTACTAAAGCCGGCACATACAATAATTTTCTTGCTGAAGCCACACAGTGAATCCAAGGCTTATGGATGTTAAATTGCCCAAATTTCCCAAGAGGAAGGACTCAAACCCAGACCTTGTTGGTTTCAGAATTCATGTTTTTGACACAATATTATTCTTTTTAAAAAATATATACATTTTTATTGATTTCAGAGAGAAAAGGAGAGGGAGAGAAAGATAGAAACAACAATGATGAGAATCACTGATCGGCTGCCTCCTGCACACCCCACACTGAGGATCAAGCCTGCAACTTGGGCTTGTGCCCTGACCTGGAATCGAACTGTGACCTCCTGGTTCATAGGTCAATGCTCAACCACTGAGCCATGTCAGCTGGGCTACACAATATTATTCTTGTATCATAATGTAGGCTGGGTCTAGGGAGAGCTTCACTATACTTCCCAGCTTTCAGAATGGAATGTGGGTATATGAATATGGGCAAGGAAGAGTAGAAGGTTTCTACTCTTCACATTTTCTTTAAGTCTGAGTAGCAGCAAGGCCAAATGACGACCAAAGAGTGGCCAGTTGCTCTTCTCAAGTCTTCACCTTATTCACCTTATTGGCTGGGAAATTATGGGAAAGCTCAATATTTTTACATATTTAAGATGTGAATTCAAAGGGAAGAGTTATAATAATCTAAATGGCTTATTCAAAATCTTTTGGACCTTGATTTTATAAGGAGAATTAACCAGTAATCTCGTCTTGGAGCTGGGATATTCTGACCTCATAAATTTAACCATGTCCAAGCTCCTGAGATAGTCATACTTCAATGTCTCCTTATCAGCCTGGTACATTTCAGGTGCAGAATTGATGATGTCAGGAGCAATGTGGTATCTGCTACCATGATGCTGAGCACAATGCTGGCCCCGTCAGGCATCACCAAATAGACAGCAAAGGAGATTAGTTCTGAGTGTGATAAACATAGAATTCATCAGGGGTTGCAGCTCTGATAAGTTCACTGTCAGTGATACCCCAATGCACTAAAATTAAAAAAAGTCTCTGTAAGCATTTCCTATCCATTTTTCTCTGAAGTTTAAAGTTGCATAAATTTCCATTAGCAGGTCACCATATTTCTGAACTTGTACATTAACCAGTAAAACTTAACTACTCTGTACATGGTTATATTACTTTAATCTTTGGGTAACTAAATTCGAGGTCAGTCTTAGACTCACCAAGATAAACAACAACCATAAAAGCTTTACTTTTAAATAGACCATCTGACAGATCTCTTTTTAATTGATCTAGAAGACTGTACTTCTAGACTAGGTTAACTATTGGGAAAAGAAATCTTGTATGGTCAAAGGTAGATTATTTTTCCTCTCCCTTGCATCTAGTTATATTACATTAACCTGTGAAACAGAATCATACAGAAATACAGAAATATCACTGAACACTCAGTCTTGCAAATTACCATTCTATCTGGAATGACAAATTATATATTCCACCGACTTCTAGAGCATGTTGGTTTAATATTATACTCAAACTGTGCATTCAAAAACTTTTTTGGAAGCTTGTTATGTGCAAGGTTTTCTTTGTAACTTTTCAAATGATTAGGGACTTAGGTTGGTTTAAATGCAATAGTCACATGGCTCTCACACATGGCATTTCCTATCTTCCTTATTCTTCATGGTGAGACTTCTTTATAAAACTGATCTAGATGAACAATAATAATTAAAAGGCTTTATTTCCAGGATCTTTCAAAGAAGTTGAGGGTAAAAGGGAGAATAGATATGAAGGGCTAATTTTAAGCCATGGAGAGGAAGTCAAAATCAAATGAGAAAAGTACATGAAGTACTCATGTATTCACTATAAAATCTAATCTACCATGGGGCTTCCATCTCTTAGACTCAGACCTCTCATTGTCTTAGCAAACTTCTTTCCACTCTCTTGGGCTTCTAACTTTGTTTTGATGACCTACAGGCTACCATTTTCTTGATGTTGGTTTTAAAAATGCCTGTGATCACCCAGATTCCTCACATGCTTGTCAGCCTCTGTAAATATCCTGAAATCTAGTTGCCAGTGATTTATTTTCTAGATATTCAGCATCTGCCATCTTCCAGGCACTGTGCTGGGCACTGGATGTACATAGAGAACAATGCCCTCAAGAGTACATGACCTCCTAGGGGAGGACTTTCAGTTAACCAGAAGTTGTGAGCTAGGTGGAAAATACTATGTAGAAGAATGCATGGTGTGCTGAGACAGCAAAGGAGGAGCCCTTCACATCTGGGAAAGGTAGAAATTTCATGGAAGGATTCCAAAACAAGGACACCCTCTTTACCCAGGGAAGGAGTAGAGAGGTTTGTCGGAAGGATAAGTGGAGAAGGGAGTTTCTGTAAAGTGATGTGGTCTGCATCAGGGCAGGGATTTATAACAAGCACAACACTGTGTGGTTGTCTAAGATGTGTGGGTGGGTGGTTGTTGCATCCCAAATGATTTTAAGAACTAGCATGAAATAATACTCAATGCACCAATCTTTCTGTGTTTCCCAAATAGATTTCCCATCGCTTTAACACTTGCTGGCCTCCCTTTTTGTCAGAGAGCAGGTTTTGACTCAGACACCATAGCGGTCAACATGATCTTTTTAGAACTTAATTACACTGTTCCATTTTATTATATAAATTTTTTACAGTTTTATTTTTATTGTGGCAACTGATTTCAGTTTTCCATTCACAGCATTGATACAAAGTTTCATTTGAAATGACTTTATTTTAGTTAAAAATGGGGTTAATGAGAACAATATGCAAAAAGTAATACAGGTGGTACGTGGACATGGCAATCACCATGAAGTTGGTCTGCCAATGAACAGAGTTTGATAAACACTGGTGTGGTGTATTTGGGAAACAGGAAATCATAAGATGGAATGAAGGGTGAGTATGGATGACAAGCTACAAGAGTTTGGCAGAAATAGGCCTGTGAAGAGCATCCTGGGTCAGGCTGAGGAGTTGAGCTTCATGGGGAGGCATTGGAAAGCTTTAACCAGGATAATGGTTCAATAAGGTTTGCAACTTATAGAGAACTTTCTAGCAGAATGTGAAGGATGTCCCATAGGAGCTGAAGGAAGCAGACCAGTTAGGAGGCTAATGGGGCCCAATGGAAGAGGCTGACCAAGGGTGAAGCAGTGGGGCTCTGAAGGAAGGGAGGGGTGTGTTTGACATATCCATGGTACAGTCACCGTTGTCACTGGTTAGATATGGAGGAAGAGACCTAGAATATTGCTCAGGTTCTAGTATGGTCAATGTTCTCTCTTAACCAGATGAGGGGATATTTTCCCTTACTTGCTTCTTTGCTTGATAATTGACATGATTTTGACTCTAACTGGAGCTGTACATTTCAATAGCTTGGTGTTAACATTTTGGCAGGAAGAATCCAAGGTTCTTCCCTCTCATTCCTGACTAGAGATCTAACTCCTCAAACAAACAAAGCAGAACTCAAAATGTGTGGTGGAGTAAGCATCTTTTCACATTGTGAAAGATAATTTAGTCAAGCAGATAATGGAGAAGATACAGTGCTGTGTGGTTTGCCTTCAGGTTTTCAAAATGGGCTACCTCAGATAAAAAAGGACTTCTAGTTTCATAAAATCACTTTAAATCCTAAATCCCATAGTTTCTGACTATGTTCAGAGTGTGAAGTTATATGGCTTTATCACTTCAGATGTTTTGAAATCAAAGGGATCAAAGAAGGGCTATGAACTAAGGAGTTACTAGGGAGGCCTTTGTTTGGCAAAAAAAGAGAAAACCTAAAGGTAGAGTGAGGTCTTTGTGGAGACATTCTTGTATGATGTCAGATTCATCTTACAATTGGAAGGAACCTGGCTGCTGGCAATTGAGGAGCTCAGAACAAGTGGCTCTCCCACATGACATTTCCTATCATCCTTATTCTTCATGGTGAGACTCTAGGACCCAAGAGGAAGTTCTCTGTTTTGTAACCTTATTGATTAGTAAAGTACACACCAATGGTGAAGATGAAAAGTTCATGTTAGGCTCAACTGTGAGAAACGAGAAGGGCTCTAGAAAATTACCCTAACCTGAAGTCTCTCTGAGTATCTCACTTCAAGAGAAGGGCTCAAGGTCAGGCAAGAAGGATTCACCTAATGAAAGTCACGGAATAGAAGACAAGTGTTAGCTTAACTCATGATGGTAACTCATAATTAAGAAATATAATGCTTATATCTACATTATTTTTTAAAAAATAAGAAAACTTCCTTATTTTTTAAAACATTAAGACAACTTTATTTCAATGCAATACATTTTTATTTAAATGAAGGATGCTGTGTGGACAATTATATGAGACTCTCTTACTATTAACAATGTCTATGCCATGAGCCTGGTGATATATATCATAAGACCAAGTCACCTGCCACCCTTGATGGAGGATGAAGTTTTAAAGGATTGAATCAAACAAACTTAAATCTATAAATTATTAATTGCTTTGGACCCAAGAATTCTGTTTTATGCATAGAGTGAAGAGTGAGTAGAACCTTAAGAACTTTAGGTTGGGTAATGGGAGTGGCTGAGAAACATCTATAAACCAAGTGGTTACTTACATTTAGGAATTAATCTGAGACTTAACTCCTCTGATGTTGTTGCTCTGCAGGCAGACCTTTTGCTGGGCCTTTGGACTACAGTTTAAGAAAAAGAAATATGTCTAAACATTCTGGGTGCAAACTAAGGCAAATGGTGTGCATAGGCATCCTATATATTTAGGATCTTTTTGTCTGTTTATCTTAGTAGATATTTGCAGTGAAGTTTGAAGGTGGAATTATGAAAACTGTATAAAGAGTTATGTTTTAGTAAATTTCTGTGAATTATAATGAAACATTAATAGAATAAGACACTGAAATTAGAGACTTCATGTAAAACGGTATGGCTACACAAGAAGCAAACATAAAATACATGAAGTTATTGAGCTGCAACTTTAATGCTGGTTAGTGATTATGCTGCACAACATATAGTTCTTATTAAAAGGAAATTTACTTGTTGCAAATATTTGCTTACTACACTGGAGAAATGATATGTTTATTTGATCGGTGTGTGCAATGTAGAGTATGCCATTTGGAACTGAGAAACTTAGATTCCAAATCTTAAGAATCTGGAAGGGAAAAAGCAAATGGAAGGTAGTATTTGAAAATCACTATGGGGTGGACATTGTATGGCTTCCTTACATGTGCTCAAATTTATCGTCACCACATCCCAGCCTTGTGAAGTCCGTTGAATTGCCATGTTAGAGATCAGGAAATAAGCTTGAAGAAGGAAATCGTGCAAATTCACAAAGTTGCTAAGTGCTACTCCTTCCGCTGCAGGTGTTACCTACATATTGAAACTGAGAATTCATTCCCATGGCTACACTTCATTTCCTTAGGAAGCTATGTTTAGGGAAAGGTACATAGAGCCACTATGCCAAGCAAATTGGGTTCTAGAGTATCTCTAAACCTAAGTCAGAGGGGCTCACTGTCTTTCAAATAGGAACTTGGTTTTGGTTGTAACATGGACTGTCCATGTAATGAAAAATAAAAAATGAAAGACTTGTTTGTTCTTGGGTCAGAGGGTTGGGAGGAGTATGGTCAGTAGAAATAAGAATTGTAGTCAGAAAACTTTGATATTACTATTATCTCTGCAACTCACTCGTGTGTAGCTTCAGTAAAGATTGTTACTTCCCTGAGCCTAATTGTCCTCATCATGTATCATATCAATATCCCAGAAGGTCAAAAGTGCGAATGAAAAGGAGATAAAGTATGTTTTAAGTCATAAAATGTGATAAAATGTTACTTATACTTAACAGGTTATTTGTCTGCTTATGAGCAAATCTATACAAGCTATAAATGATGTTTACATCTACAAATAATTCTCTAGCCTCTTCAGCATGCTGTGGGGTGGGAAGGGATATTGTTTCCTCCATCAAATTGTCTCAATAAGTCAGTTTGAAGGGGAAGGGTTAGAAAAAGATCCTGGGTGGAACCATTGCCACATTTTGTCTCCTCTTTAGGAATTACTGGTCTCCTTCTCCTACCCTGTTCTTAAAAGAATCAGGTAGATCATGATGGTTTTCCTCCAGGTAACAAAGTCCTTTCCTATTTTCCTGATGGATGATATTTTGGAACTCACTGAAGTGCAAAACCAACAGCTCACCAGAGAGGTCCAACAACCGCAGTGTCAGGATGTCAACAGGAGCATAACATGGAGGATTGGGCCCAGCTAATTGACCAACAACAGCCTGAGAGGTTAGAAATATTGCTGCTTTTTGTAGCAGTAGGATGGTTCTGTCGTTTATAAACAGAAAGTATTTCTATTTCCTACCAAATTAATCATTTGGACTAATAGTTTTCATAAATTTATTTCATGCTATCCATTTCAGGGAGGGCTGGCCAAAGGTGGAGTGCAGACCGATTCACATGAGACCAAACAATGCCCATTCCTTCCAGCATCCTAAATCTCTAGATTTCAGAATTGCCTCTCTTAACCCCAAATCCTTGACATCGAGTCCTCTTGTCATTCATCATCAGGACAGAGAGCAAAGAAATCAAATGATGGGGAAGACACTACATTGGAAAGATAGATCGTTTGCTAGTTTGGAGAGCTGGCCTGGGTTTGACATTCAAGAGTCTTGAAGTGAATGGGGAATAGAAACAATTATCCAGATATTTAATTTGGCTATATGTATATCTTCACTCTCTCCATACCTCCCTCCACCACACATGCATCTTCCTCAAATATAGCTTAGGTACCCAATTTTAACAGAAATCACTAAGACAGCTTGTAGTTTTCAATCTGGGAGATGGTCAAAGCCTCGGCTTAAATTTGAAGACATAGGAAAATGTCTTCATCTTTAATTTTTAAATTCTGCTCAATCCTTGATTTTCTTAATTGAATAGGTGAAAGAATGTGGTGGCTTTGGGTTAGTGTGTGTTCAGCATTTGTGTGTGTGTGTGTGTGCATGTAAATCACAGTTGACACAAATGTGAGGTTTCTGAATAGTTTTGAAAATTTAGTAATGTAAATAGTAAAACTAGCATAAAGATCACTCTGACTCTTCTAGACATCCAGACTGTTTTGGAGAGGACACTAGTGAAACTGTTGGTAGGTAACAGGAATCATGTGCATATATGGAAGTGATGTTGATGGGAAGCCTCAGGTATCATCAAACTTCAAAGGGGACCACTGTGTACCCCAAAGGATTGCTGACCTCTCCTCGCCCTTACCCTGTTTGGAATACTGAGTAAAATGCTTGAAATATATAAAAAGTACCACCCATGCAAATAACTATTTGTTAAAATATGGCTTTTGTTTAGGCTAATTTCAGTAAGAAAAGTAATATCCTCATTTCTGTGAGTTTTAGGATGTGGGACATTTCTCATGCATACGCCCTTCCCTGAGCAGTAAGATGGACATTGAGTTTAATTTATTGATAGAACAAGGGGAATGAGCCCAATTTAGCCTTATCTCCTCTTAAAACAGTGAATCATTAAATTAAGAGCCTGTTGTAAAATAAATTGACTGAAACGATAGGAAGCTTAGCATGGCAAAGTTCTGACTGGCTGCGTTGAGGCCATGGTGGCCATCAGACTATTTGAATGATAATGACAAGTTTTCCTCTCATGACTGCATGGGTTGCCATGTTGACATTTCCATTGGTCTGAAGAAGTTTCTTGCTGTTACTACAGAACATGTTAACAACCAAGACCCAGTGATCATGCCTAGAATGTCCTCTCTGACATGTTATTGTGTGTATGGAGAGGGGGGTGGGGAGAGACATCATATTGCTTGGGTGTGGCCCCTTAAACAAGGAATACAGTGGCAAGAAGAATCAATAGGCAGCAGATGACTCAGAATAGACAGTGAGGCCAAAGCAAAGCACAGACAAGATGATGTGGGGTCCATGGAACACATTCCTATATTAGCACATCTGTCGCAGGAACACGAAAGGTGCTGGTCTAACAGACTGAAACGTTAGTCTGCTGAGCAACACTCCCAGGTCTCCACAGAGTGGCATTTTTATTGCAGTATTTCGTTCATGGAAAATGAACAAAACTTTAAATAAATCACAATTACTTATTGCTTAGTATTTTGGATAAGGAATTCTTTAGTTTATCAGTACCCCCACGGCTTTCAAATGTGCATTCTTCAAATAGTTTCAATTACATATACATTCTTTCTCCTGAACAATAAATTATTCTTTAAAAAAAAGAAAAAGATACATAATTTTAAAGTGAAGAAAAACAAAAAACATATATTTTTGACATTTACCTTAAACTTATATGAAAACAACTCTATGTTAGATGCTTAAATATAAATAATAAAGGACATTATGTTATTTACAATGTTACACAGTAAGTTGAGAGAGTAAAATTCTGACATTAACTCATAAAGACAGTAAATGATTTAGGAAAACATCTAAGTAATGTACATGGTGTATTTACAAAAGAATATATAATAGAACTTGTGATATGTGGCCATTTCCCTTTGTCTGCATTTCTCTGCAGTGTTTCATGGGCCTTTGTAGATAGAAATCGCATCTCTGTGGCTGGTGGAACGCAGCCAGTGCTAAATAATAAAACTAGCCTTCCTTATTTTCACCAATGTGAGCTGTGCCCCTTTTAACTCTAGGCCAGAAAAAAAATAGGAATAATTACTGAGCAAGTTACCCTGGATAAACTCCACCTGTATCAAGACAGTCACACTTAAACAAGGAAGATACAGCATGTTGGTGTCTGAAACACATTCACATACACCCTGGTAGAGTGTTAGTTTGTAGAAAGCATGAGGCTGTCCAGGTACTCTTGGAAAAAAGTCATAACAGGCAAGAAGGGAGAGTAGGATAGTAAAGGAATCTCGAGTGAGAAAAAGAAGTTTGCATATACTATGTTCCACTGCATACCCCTCAGTAGGATATGATTTCCAGGGGGCAGAGTGGCTGTGGAACTTCTGGGCAATTACCCAAAAACCCACAGAAGCTTTTCATCTGCTGGGAACATAGGTTCACCCTCCTTTGAATGGCCACAGCACTGCCTGAGTTTATAAACAGGGTGGGTGGTTGAGAGCCACGTGGCAGTTAAACATCATAGAGATATCCCTGTGAACACAAATCCGGTGGCCGCAGCAGGTAGCCCTGAGGAGTCAGCTGGCCTTTCTTATCAAGGGAAGCTCTTGTTTTACAGGGAATGCTGTCCCGAATAACGCCCCCTCTGTGAGTGACTAGAATCAAATTGGAAAGAAACTTTCCTCTTATCCTAAGTTTTCATATATTTTTGTAACCTGAAAATTTACAACAATTTTCATGTTGTTCATTGCTCTCGATATTTTATTTATTCTTGAAATTATTCAGAATGAGACATGTGAATACTCCTAAGTCTGTAGAATTAGAAACAAAAGTTGTAGTTTTAATTTGTGATAGGAATTTTTTATTGAAGTAGTCCAAGACTGACTCAAAGGCAATATTAGAATAACTTATAGAACCTCTTTGGGTTGACTGTCTTCTTCCTCCTGCCGTGAGCTTACTCATGTCTACAGACCTGGGCAATCAGTGCAACTTGTGCCGCCTGACAGGGGCCCCTCCGTGTGGATTAACAAGCTGATGAGGGCACTGCCGGGCACAGAGGAAGTGGTATGTGAACAGTGAAGGGCAGCTTGGGATATCAAATACTCAGAGTAACTTCAAAGACCTGCAATCAATCAGGCATCTCTGTGGATTGTAGAAACATGTAGGAGCTCAATGACATGACTCATGCCCAGCCTGCATTCTTCTTCTAAGACCTACTTGCATGTATCTTCTCCCCTTTACCTTTAACATAGAAATTTGGTGAAGAAATAGGTTCAGTTCACCTGCCAACAAGCAGCAGTTACTCTCATTGACTTCATGCCTGGTATTTTGGACCCCTTGCTAACCTGTTTCCCATTTTGTCACATGGCTCCCAGGAGTCTACTTGGAACCTCAGTAAAGCTCCAGCCAGATTCGGCAGGTATCAGGCAGATCATAAAATGGGGGCCTGCAATTTTTACAAAAAGCTATTATTTTCCTGAATTAGCAGTTCTTTCAAATGTTGATACCTATAGGCCTTCCTTGGATTTACAATCCCAAGAGAACATGCAAAGTTTAGACCCATCTTAGTCCTGTTCTGTGAGAGTAAAGCAAAAACAAAGGAGGAAATGGGTGATACAGGCTGGGAATCAAGAGGTCAGTACACAGGAGGGGGTCGTGTTTCTGCAGGGAAAGGTGCAGTCTTTCCAACACTATTGACGTTGCCTGATGAAGCATCACTCTCAGAAGGTTCTTACTAGTCACAAATCACATGCATGTTGGCCATTCCTGACAAAAATGTTCATGCATAGTCATGACCTAATCAAGGCGACATTGAAAAGCAAGAGAAAACTAATGAGGAGAAAGGAGTGGTCAACAAAACTGTTTAAAATTGCAACCCATGCCACACAGCTGCCCTCCACCTGTGTCTTCTATCAATCCCTCCTCTGGACACTATGATTACCAGTCACCACTAGGCACAGCAGGCACGTTTCACTCTAGGTATTTCAGACAAGTGCTGAGTGTGCTGTTGGAGCTGGGGTGTTTGTGCCATAGCATGTCTGTTTCAAGCCAAGAAGACAGAACCAATCACTAGCTCCAAAATCAGTGAAAAATGCAAGTCAGGAATGATTACACCTTGTCCAGCCCTGGTTTGATCTTCAACTAGATGTGCTGTTGTGTCATTCCCCCAGAGAGAAAGTGACATTGAGTCCTCTGATAAGGTGTTGGTCTTACCCTAATAGCAAGCCAGAACCCATTTTCTCTGCTACCCTCCAAACTGTTGCTTTTTTGTCAAGAAAAATAAATTGAAATAAAATAAGTGATAGCTCCTCTTAGTGACAGCAAGCTGTCTTCTGATGAATAATATAGTTTTTTTTTAAAAAATCACAATATTACTTTCTTCCTAATATTTAACATTACTTAATGCAGTTTCCTGCTGTAATTAATAGTAGCATGCTGTTGGATCTACTATTATCTCAGAGCCCAGTGAAGCAAACCTTTGGCTGGCAGAATAGACACGACTCATTTCATAGACTGAAAGCAAAAGAAAACTTCGTACAGAAGAGAAGAGTATTTGGATGGATGTGCCATTACAAGACGTACTGATTGGGTGCTACTTTAAGCAAACGGAGGAACAGTTGCAAGTCTTGCAAATCATACATCCAGTCAACATCATAATGCAATGCACAAGAAGCCAGCGAAAACAGAATATATGGGAGGTTTTGCTGAAATACTGTGGAAAAGCAATCACGGTAACGGTACAAAACTTGCTCTCGACATAACATAACATAAAGGCACCATTGATATCTTTCTCGTTTGGAAATACTGTAAAAAATTGCTACATATGGCACATAACACATTTTTACATACATATATTTAATTTATAAAAGTTTTTTTTCCTGTTTTCTATTTGCAGAACTGCTAAAATAAAATAAATTGTTTAATTTAAGGTGGAATACTTTATTATATAAAATAAAGTTTTACAGGTGTATCTATGTGTTTATTTAGGTTTTTATACAGCGATAGGGTCTTGGTTAGCAATTACACTAGACAGCCTGGCCTGCAGATCCTCCTGTGTCGAGAAGCGGCCTGCTGGGTTAGTCCTGCTCTCGGCCAGGCGGAAGGCAGGTGCTGCCTCGAGACTGGCTGCCAGGGGGTTCTGTATGCCCAGAAAAGGGGTGGCTTCACCTACTCTTTCATCTTCTGTTTCACTCTCTGAGTTACTGCTCTCAGCGCTTGTGTTGCTGTCCATTTCCAACCTGTTGGCAATGTGGCCATTGGGCTTGGTTCTTTTGGCCCGCCGGCTGTTGGTGAGTTTCTTAACAGGCTCTTGAGCTGGCTCGTACTCCTGGGTGGTTTCATACTCCTCATCCTCCACTATCCTCAAGGGGCTAGGGGGCAGGCTGCTGCTCTCATGCGCGGGGTTGTGGTGGAAGGAGTTGAATTGCTGAGGGTGGTGGTCATACTTCTCCCGCAGCCGTGGTGGTGTCACCAGAAGCAGAGGTCTCTCTTCTTCCACAAAGGGGCTGACTGCCATAGAGGGCATGGACACCGTCGTGCTGGACACAGGTGCAGACATTTCCGAAGGGGGCGATTTGGGGGAGCTTGGCGTGTGGAAATCTACAGGTGACATACGAGCCGGGGTGGTCATTGCTGACACATACCTGTGTGAGCACAGAATACCCCGCATAAGTGTGGTGGAATAAGAGGAGTCATAGAGTAGGGAGGGGAAGGGGACAGAGTTCACGATATTATATAATCAGAGAACAAAGAATTTCTGTTCATCGTATACTTCTTGGATTTTTACACTAGGACATTCAGTACCCTTGGGATCTCAAGTTATGTAGCCAAGAGTTTCCTTACAGGAGTACATGCATAGATCAGCTACATGGCCTAGCTCATCAAAGCTTTAAGGATTTCCAATCTCATCATGATTGTAAATAAAAGCATGAGTCAAGATTAGAGGGCACGAGGTCCTGGGAACCTGTTAGTTTGTAAGGACCAAGGCTGAGGGATTTGTAAGGGAAAGAAGTATTACTTAAATACTATACCTTCCTAAAGGCCAAGGGGTCTTAGAGAATGAAGCCCAAATGGGGAATGGAGGAAGATCTAAGATGAGTTGCTGAGAGCTGGATCTGCATGCATTTGGATCTGTGTGCCTTGTTTCTCCTTAGCTCAGCTATAAGGTTATGTCTTATGAAAAAAAAAGAGCATAGTGACTTAGATTTATTCCTGATAACAGTGTAACATATTTGTGTGCTTTAAATTTTTCCATGAAATGCTACTTCTTAACATTCAATTTGCAACTATCCATCCCAGTGACCAAGACATCCAAAGGTAAGCCTGAGAGAACCTTACATTGGCTTCACAGAATATTCAATCCCTGGTCTACCTTTCTTCCAAAACTTAGAGCTGCATCAGTCTTTGGCTTATCTTTGTGACTGCTCAACGCCTGCTGTACCATTACCTTACGTCATGTTATAGCTGATAATGCTCATTGAATCTTCTTGTCAAGACATTGAGTGCAATGTTTTTACCATATCATGCTTTATCCCCCCGGGAATAAGAAGACCTGACTTGGCACTGGAGAAGACATGTGGCTTATTGACAGTCACATTTCTCAGCTTTTGATAAAAATGTTACCAATGCATAGCACTAGATGACTCTTTTTTTCACATTGGTGTTCTCAGAGTCTAATTTGACACGACCTGTGATGACTCAGGACAGCACCATCTGAACATTAGCTAACAGGAACCTATTAACCTTCCTGCTTTCAGCCATGATTCAGACTTATATGAATGTGAGATCTCGCTGTGTCTAAAATGGGAGAGTGTCTAGAGGTTGAACTACTTGGTGCCCGAATCTTCAGACTTTTTGCTTTATGTGTACTTAACTTTAGCTCTCTGAGAAATGCTAATCCAAATTTAACCAAACACATAAAAATGATTTATCTTTTCATGATCCTAGAGACTATCTGGGATATTCAAGGAAGTCTACCACAGTCGGGAAATGTCATTCTTTAAAGATAAATGTCACATGTAGTAAGAAAGAATTGATCCCTAAACTCTTTTCAGGTTTCAAAAAAGACTAAAACAGAATAGATAGACTTTTTAAATACATAAATGTATAATTATATGTATATCTAAGAGTAATGTTTTAAACCAGTTTTGGACAATGCCTTATTTTTCATCCATGAACAGAGCAATCTTTAATTCCATAAAGCTTTGAAATACCATTTTGGGATATTTCATAGAAAGGCCATTCGAGAAATGATTAGCAAGTTCTATATGACCTATAAGCCCCCAAACTGGTCATCTTTGTTTTAAGTACTTCCCAAGCAAAGAGTGGAAAGAGTCTACCAAACTATTTCCACCCATGTAAATACCAAATACATATTTGACATTATGTAAAGCTTTGAACAAATGGTCAAAGATTAGACTGAGATGATACAGTAAACAAGCAGACAAAACCCCTCTGGATTTGAAAACAAACAAGTGACAGCTTACTGGTAGGCTAGAAATGCTGGTTGGGTATAACTCTCTCCCAGTTTAGGTGAAAATGGATAGAGAATCTATAAATTTAGTATTCCTATAAAGCATCTCTTTCAGTTTACTTTCCTCTGTTCTTTATTTTACCTTTTCTATAATTCTCCAACCCAATCCAATACCCCCAGAAAAAAAGCCAAAACATTCTGGAATAAAGGGCCATATGAGAGGCAATATCTACTTTGAAAACCACCTGTGAAGACTGTCAGACGCAGCATATAAAAGATTTATTTATTCATCCCTTCTTGGAATTTCATAAAAGGGATAATCTATGGTGGAACGCAAGCAGTTGTTCCCCATGAGAGTCAGCAGTGACATAGCCCTTGATTTGATTTAACTGAGGCTGGAAGGTAAGACGAGTTAGCACGTGAGAACACGAGGTCAGTTCGACCAGAGTTTGGATAACTGGCAAATTGGAATTCTAGAAGGGTCCTTATCAATCACTGGTGCCATCTCTCTAAAGTGACAACTGAGGAAACAGATCCCGAGTGGGGCTGAGCCTAAGGCCGGACCTAGGAACTCCAAGTTGGCTGCACCTTCCACATCAAATCATTCCAGCTCGTTAAGAGTCTGTTGCCTGTTGGCCACTGGGACGAGGTGAGAAGCTCAGAAGAAATGAGTTCAGTCAAACAGAAAGATGACTTCATCAACTAGGAGCACTCCTAGAACAGGCAACTGCTGCCCCTTATTCTCATTAGAGTAGATTTCCTTAGGTGAGACCGCAGGTGCTCATGGGGATTCGCTTACTGGGGCTCTTTCTCCTCTGCAGTAGCTTTGCCCTTCAGTTTTACCTTTCGCTGTGAGGAGAGTCTCGGTAGGAGTCAGGGGTTTCTCTGGCATGCCTGAGGAAGCTGTTACATTCACGAGGGCCTCCCAGGCCATTAAGACGTCCTCTTGGGCCCCCAGTTGGGCTGCTGTGCCTACTGTTTTCTACTGATGACATCATGATTACAGAGTGGCTTTCAGAAATGATGCTTTCGGTGTGTCCGTTGCTCCAGCTAGAGGGGAAATGTGAAAGGCAAAGATATTTTTTAGAAAATTATGTGCAAAAATGGAAATGAAGAGAATGACCAGACAAATATTTCAAATTATCCATGCATCAGTAGTTCACTATAACATAACTTGTCTCAGAATGGAATTGTTATAAAGACACTTGCTATAGAAAGGATTTTGATTTAGATTGGTTTTGTAAAGACACAGGTTATTCATTTGTTCACTCATTCAACACATTTATCAAATATCACTAAGTGCTAAGTGTTCTTATAATCATTCTGATCTGGACAGCTTAGGTTAAGGAAACACTTGCCCAAGTGAGCTACATTTGGAAGTCTAGTGTTGCCTTTGGTTGCACTAGTGTTGCACTCAGATATTGGTCACCAGAGCATTTGCTAATTTAGGGTTCACCTATTTAATCGATTTCTCATGTGTATTTCCCAGGGCAATTCAATCAATGGGAGAAGTCAACTTCTAAGTATTATGTAGCATCTAAGACAGAGTTTTCCCAGTATAGCAATTCAGTGAGTGGTTGGGCAAGAGTAAAGACAATCTCTAAAATAGGGAACAACTCTTGAGGTAGGTATCATTTCCCCTTGTTTGATGATGAAAAAAATTAAGGCTCAAATTTAAACAGCAATTAAATGGCAGAGAGCCAGTTGATGTCCAAAGTCTGTTTTTGTCCCACACCATACACTTAACTATACTTCACTGCCCCATACATGTGTCCTGTGCCTTTCTTAGGCAATGACAGCACAAGGAAATTTACAAAAATTAATTCCCGGAGGAACCATACAATTGTTTTTTTCTCATACCTGTGACTCGGAGTCTGGGTGACAGTAGTGGAATGATGAGTTGTCGAGGTATAGTGACTGGTGGAAAAAGATGTCTCCACTTCTCTTTCAACAATATGCTCACTAGAGATGACATTTTTAGATACGTATTGCTGGATAAACAAAGAGACACAACTTGAAGATTCATGTAAGTCAAAACATTAGCACTGTCACACACAAAAATCTGTTCTAGTATTTCTTCATAATAAATTTCTTTTCTTCAATGTCCAGATAGAAAATCCTATTCTGGTTACTGTGGCCTTTAGATTCAGTGAGTGGAGTTAATAAGTTACTCTTTGGACATGTGCACAATAGAGGTCCTACAGTCATAACTGCTCATTATCCATTTTTTTAGTTTGTTTCTAGTTGATAACATGACTAGAATTCAGTAAAAATATTTGTCCAATATTCATTTTTTGTCATGGTTGTTACAAGTGAAAGAAGAATTTGTTTAAAGTCTCTATATTTTGGATCTACCACTGTTTTACAATTTCCTAGTGTCCACGTTGCCCAAATGATACCACTGGAATTTTTAAATTGTCAGTAGTAAGAGTAGTGAGGCTACTGAGAGATGGGAAGGATGTACAGAAGTTGTTAAGGTCACACATCTGAGAAAGCACATGTCCAAATGCAGTGCAAGTACATTCTATTTCATTTTCATCATCAAATCACAGTAGCTATTTACTGTCTTCTCAGCGGGAGAGGCACATTCTGAAGTTGTCTTAAATGCTATTTGTATTTACACCAAATTAAGTTAAATAGAGGATGAGGCAAAGAAAAGAATACCCTCAGATGAAATAGGGCTTTGTAATCTGATGGGCGGTGAGCGCTAAAATAACCTCATATATTCATGGAAACCCCCAAAAATGCAACTTGAATCATGCTTGAAATTCTAACTGGTTCTCTTGGAGGAAAGGTTATTCCATGTGGAATCCCTGGGACGTGCGGCTAGCTGGCTCTAAGGAAAAGATGGTGGCGTCACACATAATGAGCTACGTCCAGTCTGGGTACCATTTCACTCTTGCTCCTGGAAGGCAGTGTAAGCTCAGTGTATCTAATGAAAATAACATTTAACACTTATTCAACACTCATTAAATGCCACCGGGCTGTTTTATGTAGGTTCTCTTATTTAATGCTAGCAAGAACATTCTGAAGTAAGTATTATTTTTAGGCCTGTTTTCATGATGAACAAATAGGGTTTAGGAAGGTTAAAGCCTGAAGTCACACTGTGTGAGCCATGAATGGAATCCAGGCAGTCATTCTGCTTCCTACATCTTGTAACTTTTTTAGTGACAGCGTATAGGTGTGTCTGTAGTGAGTGCATTGATCGACCATGCAGAACATTCTAATGAGCACTGATGGGGGTGGAAGCAGCAAAGCATGCCAATGTATTTGCACCTGACTCTACCAGTCTCCCGTAGGTCTCTGCTACAAGACTTACTGGTGGTTTAGAAACCACCCACTCTGAACTTGGGTCCATGATATATTTGCTCCACACAAAATATACCTTTTTCTATAGAATAGAAAATGGTAGTGCAATACAATCTTCAAGCTTTGCTTATAAAAAGTAAAAAATCAGAGAGAAATGACAAAAACAGGAAGAATGATGGTGGAATAGGAATAGAAAGAGCAACACTTCAAAAGCCAGGGAAACTGAGTCCAGCTCTGGCCCTTCTCTGTAAAAAAATAAAAGGAAGATTTGAAGGTGATATCGAAAGACTTTGCGGAATCTAATATTCTCTGACTCAGTTATATTTCAAAGCCTGGTAAATTTTAAACAAAGGGCTTGAGTGGTGAAGGGTAGGTTTCATCAGGAGGGTGTGGCATCACGTAGACAGAGTCAGGGAATAGGAAAGCAAATGTTCCTCCAGTTTTGCTGAGAAGCAAGTTTGATAAGTCACTTGACCTTTCCTGCCCTAATTTCTTCCTTTGTAAATCAGAATCCACAAATCATCAGGCACGGTGATGCCTCCAATAAATTCACTCTAAAGCCCTCAGCTCCGTTCTCAGTACTAATCAGTGAGAGGCTGGAGCAGCCTTCATTTCCAAATTAGAAAAATAAAACATTTCCTTCTGATTCTTGTATCATTCATTTTCTAATTTTCCTTTGTGTTTTTCTTTTCTTTCTTCCAGCTACAGCCTCCCCGCAGGACAAACCCAACATTATTATTCCAACCCCTTAATGAACACTTTAGGGGAGGAAATGTGCTGGTTTTACAGTAACCAAATCCACTTTAAAAAATGTCCCCATTATTTTCTCCTGGCAAAACCTTGGATTCCTGGAAGCCGTGGAGATTAATGGCAGCAGCTAAGAGCTTTAGAAAATAAACTGCAAGGTGCCTGGACAGAGGGGAGATGCTCAGCGTCTCCACTGCCAGAGTCAACATACATTCACCAGCTGCACGTTCTCGGGGGGCGGGTTGGGGTGGTGAGGCCCGTTGGCGATGTTGACCATGTTGTTGCGCTCGGACCGAAGACTCTGCCGAAGCCGGTCGTGAAGCTTTTTCCGCTGTTTCCTGCGTGTGGAAAAGGGAGCATTTACTTTTTTCTATTGCTTACATTTCTTATTTCAGTCAATTCCTTATTTCACCAACACATAACCCGGGCAGTGGCTTGGTGGTGAGGGAGGGGGGAGGGAGGGTGTGCCATTTCATCTTAGAATCTGCCTGTGGGCAGCTGCGGAATCACACACATCCTCTTAACCAATAGGTGTAAGAAGCCGAATGGGCTTCTTACAGAAATGAAACTGGACTGCTGAGAGAGAAGACAGACAGAGGAGAAGATGGGGTAAGTCGGCTTGATATTTGGCTGAAACCCCATCGTCGCTAATCCACCCATCTGGGCCTAAGTCTTACAGGTGGTCATTTGTCTTAGGTAACAACTTGCGCTGTGCAATTGATAGAGCTGATTTCATTTATAATTTTGCCTGTTGGCCTTTAGAAAACGCAGTTAGTTTTGAATCTGCACGTGATCCATGGTGTGTGTGCATGCATAGTACTGTACATGAGTGAAAACGTGCATATTTGGTCTGTAGATTTGGGCACAATTGTAACAAGATCGTACTTTGGCAACTTTTTTTTTATAACTAGGTATTAAAATATCTACAAAGACTCTTAAGGGAACAGGTTAAGGGGGGAAAAAGAAGGACCTATGTAATACTTTCAACAATAAAGATTTAAAATAAATTAATTAATTAATAAATAACTCTTAAGGTGACTCCATGAAGGCTTATCTCTGTCGCTTACTCAATCTGGCACCCAGTTCTGGGGTTGTAGGAAAACTCCATCTATGCCCTGGATTTTATGGACTAAAAGCACTGTCTTCATTCCTCAACACAACATTCAGATCATAATAGTATCCCCATGACTCGCTTTGGCAAGAAAATTTATGTGATGAAGCAACAAAACAAAACTGTTAATATTTGTTTAGACTTGAAGTGGAGGTCATACGTCAGAAAGTGGAGGGAATTTGTGTCACAAAGTGATTACATTTGTTAATATGGACCCAGTTTAAAGGATCAAAAATAGTGAACACAAATCTGTTTTAATGTTTTCCCTTTTGTTCTTTCCAAGCAAGTTTCCCTTGACTTTCCTCTCAGAAGATTCCTTTTGGACATCTCACACTCATGAGCATCTGAGCTGGAAACTTCATTGGATGGAATTAAAAAAATAATCAGGATAATGCTCAGAAAACGGCATCTCAAATGCCACCAAGCGTTTCCTTTATCTTCTAATGGTAATTGCCAACTGGACGTGTCCCCAGCAGTGTTTGACAAGTGCACTTCTTGCACCCGCCACCCTCCTCTCACATCAACACGCGCACACACATGCACACGTGTGGGCCCCATACAGGTCTGCCCGTCCAACCCTTTCTCTGGTCAGGGGGCTGTGGTTACTCATCAGAAGTCTCCTCAGCATTTTCACACCAATAGGCAGTGCTTTCTAATTATGTGATTAGGAAAGGTGCTCAAATGGATGATTCAGAAGAAAAACTAAGGGGAAAAGTCCTCCTGGGGCTCCTCTCCCCCCACTTTTTTCCCCAAGACAGGGCTGTGGAGATGGGTTTCTGTCAGGAGGGAGCAGCGCGGGGAGGAAGGATTACTTGGTTTTGCAGTAGGCCACCACACACATGATGCCGACCACTAGCAGGGCGATGCAGATGCCAGTGATGGTCAGCACCCTCTTCTGGTAGAGCTCCTCTGCTTCTGGAAAGGGACGAGAGCAGACGTCACCAAAGGCCCCTGACCCTTGCCTGGACTTACAATTGAACAGTTGGCATGCTACATGGCACTATCCATGGTCACAAGAAATAAACATGTGACAATTCATTACTGTTGCAGACATACTTAAGGTACAGCATAACACTGCTCTATGTAGTGAGTATAAATGACAAAGCCAGATGGGGCCATTTACAATAAAAAACAGTATGCCATAATATTACTTTAATTATAAGCTATTGATACATATGAATTAAACTAGCAAATCATAAACATTGATTATAAGATAACTATTTGGTTAAAACTGTACTTTTATTTTAAAAAATAATCTCTTGCAAACATCTCTTGCAAAGACAACAGGAATCAACGCCAATAAAAGGAGCTGGGTTTGGCACCACTGGGACCCTCCTCTCTTCCTTTCTCTCTCCACCCCCCGTCTCTTTTGATTTCCCAGCTATTGTATATTCCAGTGGTCTTTACAAAGAACCATTTATAACTTAATGAAATAAACTCAAAGACATTTGCGAACATGAGCTTGGCTTGTAGTGAGCAACCAAATCAGGGCAGGACCCCTATGATTTCACAGTAAAATGTGAACATAAGCCACAGGATGTGGAGTAGCAAGACACTATATCAGAGAAAATCCAATCTGGTGGCTAAGACAGTCCTGGGCCAAGGTGAAGACTTGTTCTTTGGAGGACAATTATTATTACGTCACCAATTGCACTTAGACTCCTCCTCTATCTGTATAAAGGAATAACTAGCACAAATAATATGTAATTTGGAATAGATTATACATTCCTGCATTGACCAACATGGCAAATTAGCTAATGTAGATTACACTAAGGAGGTATGAGTTAGAATTTTGAAGTAAAGGTACTATTGTACCCCAAATGCAACCAGTCTCTTATGCATGAAAGTCTTTCTATTTGCAAATTAGTTTTTTGGGGGTGGACAACTTGATTGATTCTATGGTAGATCAGGTTCTTAACAAGGTTGGCTGACTTAATGGTGAACCTGATCCCTTAGACAGCGGTTCTCAACCTGTGGGTCGCGACCCCTTTGGGGGTCGAACGACCCTTTCACAGGGGTCTCCTAAGACCATCGGAAAACACATATATAATTACATGTTGTTTTTGTGATTAGTCACTATGCTTAAATTGGGGGTCACCACAACATGAGGAACTATATTAAAACACTTGGAGTGCGGGTGAATTTCCCGCCAAAATATAAGATGGCTCTGTCTTTTGGTTTTGTTCCATCCACCAAAAGGGTGGATTACAAACAAATATTTGGTAATACGCAGTAACAAGCAGGGTCAGCTGTGCTTGGTTTTCTGATTAACAAGCTGGTCAAGATCTGGGGGATACTATATAGGGTGCCGCGGAGTACTCGCAATTCACACGAGCCGACTTAACTCGTTTCCCGCACTCCAAGTGTTAAAGGGTCGTGGCATCAGGAAGGTTGAGAACCACTGCCTTAGGAACTGAACTTCCAACCAGACTAATTACACTTATTGGAAGTTAGTTTGCAGGTCACTGAGAAAGAGAACTGAACCGGTGCGTAACAAGCATAGTCAGCTGTGCTTGGTTTTCTGATTAACGAGCTGGTCCAGATCTGGGGGATATGGTATAGGGTGCTAGATAGACACCTTTCGAAAGATGACATTCAGAAAGCCAAGAGACATATGAAAACATGCTCAAAGTCACTAATCATCCGAGAAATGCAAATCAAAACAACAATGAGGTACCATCTCACACCTGTCAGAATGGTCTATCATCAACAAATCAACAACAACAAGTGCTGGAGAGGATGTGGAGAAAAAGGACACTTGTGCACTGCTGGTGGGAATGTAGACTGGTGCAGCCACTATGCAGACAGTATGGAGTTTCCTCAAAA